ATAACTTCTAGTGAATTGTAATGTTGGCATAATCACTGTCACTGCAATCCCATATCAACCTACTTTGTCATATACTGTAGTTCTAATGCATTCATACAGAAATGTGTACATGCACACACACACACACACACACACACACACACACACACACACACACACACACAAAATAACAGGCAGAGTTGACAGGGACCTTGGAGGTCTTCTAGTCCAACCACCTACACAAGCAGGAGACCCTATGCCATTCCAAACAAACACATAATATCAAACACAGTAGAAATTTATTCTCAAATGAATTGTTTCTAGGTTGTATTGGTGGGCTGTATGAAGAAAAACTTTCCAAAGAATATATAGAAGTAATAGAGCACTTGCAAAAAGTAAATTTGCTTCCTTTTATGTGTCTGTGTCTAAGTTAAAATATTTAACTGTGACTACATGGGATTTAACTATCTCTAGGAATATTTGCATGAGATAACCAAATTGGAAGTGTAAGTCATTTAAGGATTTTATTTTCCTATAAGGCAAGTGTCTCTGTGTCATTCAGTTGAAAATGGAAATTTCATTGAACAGGGAGGGAAAAGGGGGCACAGAAATATTACTGGCATTTTCTTTATTTGAATTACACAGTACGTGTTCAAAGTGAGAAGAAATCGAGGAAAATATGTTTGGCCACAATCTTATTCTTAGTTATGGCACAATATGTTTCTTTTAAGCTCAGTGGGACTTCTCAGTAGTCGTGTATAAAATTATATTGGATTACCTTTTTTTAGCTGAATACAGTTCTGAATTCATGGCATATCCTGGCATGATGCCTAAGTAAGTTCAAAGCACAAAAAATGATGAGCCTTTTTTTCACTATAGCTTATTAGGTACAAAGATCATTTGCTGGAATATATAAATTAAATTTTCCTAATATTTAACAACAAATTTTGTGCTGATTTTTTGTTTGTTTGTTTTGCATTTATAAAAAGAGGCATGGCTGTATATTATTTATTAATATATCCTGTTTTCTACTTTTCTAGCACTTGTACAGAAAGAAAACCAAGTTGTTCCTTTGGGGTTACTCATGGTTGAAAGTTTTTCATGGAAAAATTTATCTCCAGGGCAGTTAATCCTGAAGATCCACACATATGCTACTAAAGCTGCTGTAATAAGTCTTCCTGCTGGGTATGTGCTGGTTTTCTTTCTGTGAGAAACATTATTCTCAATCAGATATAAAGGTCTCACTATTCCCATAGTAGCCAGGTAGGTGACTATTGAAAGGGAACCCACATCAAGCAGAACCTGGATGCAATAACATCCTGCTGTTGCTGTTTCCTGCAGGTAATATTGGAGGGATAAAAGCTCTGTAACAGGACATAATATATTATATAGCTATCATATATATGTTGTGCACTGGGAGGCATCCATTGGTTATCTCTAAACATGATCTTATATTTGTTTACACTGAACCACATGCATTTTGTATGTTTATACAACCATTTGGAAACATGCCTTGAGAATTCTTCACTTTCCTTCTACTTTTCTGTTTTGATTGTATAAACTTTGACAGATTATTTAAACAGAAATCGTACAAGAATTACATGCTACCCTTTTTTCAATCTCTGTAAGACCTTGAAAACCACAGTTTAGTGAGAAAGGTCAAAAAGAAACACAGTTTATATTTTTTCTCTCCCTTTTTCTACTTTTCTCTTTTTGTCCCTGTCTTCTTTCAGTCCAGTGCTTAACCAGAGAAGCATCCTTTGGTAGCTTGTAAAGAAAATAGGGGGAAATGGTATCCAAGTTTGTCTAAGGGAATCAGCAGAGAAGCTAAGAGCAATATAAATTCTGAGACAAGCTTAGTTGGGACTTGCAGAGTTTATGCAATGTTTATCTTCTTGACTGAAGAAGACCTAAAATACTCCTGCTCAAATGCAAGTTTATTTCCTCATTGGAGGAGAAAGTGTATGCGGTTGAGGAGCGATGCATCTGAGAAGATAAAAAAGCAGAGAAAGCAGAGAAAATAAACTAAACCATAGGGAGAAAAACTCTTTGGTAGAGGCAAACACCTGATTCTGGGAGAAACTGGTATCAAACTCTTCCTTTCAGCTACCTGAACAAGCAAAGCTTGATACCATAAGTCATTGATACTATAAAACATTGTAGAAGACACTTGAGCTTTAATCAATTGAAGAAATCCAAAAGCTATCCTGAGAAAGAAGCAGTATATCATGATTGAGTGATTCTCTGCTTAGTGGAACTGAGGTGGCTGTGATTGGGTTCCATTAAACTGATTTTTTAAAATGTATGCTTAAATTACAGCCTTAGTCACTAATCTACAATGCCTGGGAATAGTTAAACAACCTTGTAGGTTACAACAATATCACACTGTAAATTTTAAAAAATGAGATGAAGAAGAAAAGAGCATCTTGCTTAAACTGCAGTGCATAAGATTTGAATCCATCTCAATTTTAGCTACAGCATATGCTTTTTGGATTAGGCATTATATCTACATTGCTATGCATGTGTACTTTGCAACTTAACCAATATTTTTGCAGGTTTTTTTAGATATTTAGATATTTTATTAATATTTATAGGCCGCCCTTTTCCCCGCGGGGACTCAGGGCGGCTTACATAAAATAGGGGGGGGGGATAAACAATAAACATAAAACAATACATAAAAGTAAAATAATACACAACATTCATTCTTCATTCGGGTGGGGACAGATTGTGATCTTATCTCCAGGCCTGACGGGATAGCCAGGTCTTGAGGGCTGTGCGGAAGGTCTGGACGGTGGTGAGGGTACGAATCTCCACAGGGATTAAATGAAATGCAGACTTTCATACATTGCTTATTTCAGTCCATAAATTTTTATATTCACTTTTTTTTCTATTATGTGTAAATAAATTATGAACATTATATTTGGAAAAATTAATTTGGAAATTACTTTCGTGTGTTGCTTTTTTAAAATATAGCCGCCACGTGTTACTTTTTACTGCAAGCTCTCCCATAGGACACAATATCCATCTGTGTAGTATGGTGCCATGTGTATTTGGTGAAGAGGATATAGTTCTACCAAATCTTGAAAAGGTATTTGTTACCATGGTAATTGGATTTGTGTTCTCATTGACTATTATTTACTTTATAGTGGGGGAGAGGATTGTTTCCTTTTTCATTTCATTTTATTTACAGTCTCTATTTTTAGTTTTATTCTTGGCTTTGAAAAATAAAGTGGCCAGGGCTTGCTTGAAAATATTGACTTTTAGTAACATTCCATCCTAGAGTCACCGTAGGTTAATGCAGTCAATGGAAGGATTATATTAATCATTAACTTTAGGTATGACATGCAGCATTTTCTTTATGAGATTAGATAACACATCATATCCATAGAGTCCTGAGCTGATGACACTTGTCCTACGTGGGTTTTGATGATTTACTTTGATGATGTCACTAATTAGAGATATTGATAAGCATTATAAGTTAGGGTATACTACATCCACTTATACGTTTGGCATATGCATATTCTTTGAATAGTTCTTAGTTATTGACAGATAAAATATTTCTTTCCCTCCCCCAGGAAAGCTATCGTTTTATGGAACAAGCTGCTGCTATAATGAAAGCCATTGGAAATGTAATAATTAATTATGGGAATGCAGAAAATCTTCCCAAAGCTATGAAAGCTTTGGAATTAACACATTGCCCCCCTGGTCTTTATGGCACAGGAATCGCAAGAGAACATTCTAAGGTAAAAACAAACAAACAAACAAAAAGAAGACAACTAATTTGTATAGGTAGTCCTCGACTTACAATAGTTCATTTAGTGACTTTTCCAAGTTACAACATCACTGAAAAAAGTGACTTATGATCACTTTTCATGTGATCCCCTTTTGCAACCTTCTGACAAGCACTGTCAATGGGGAAGCCAGATTCACTGAACAACCATGTTACTAACTTCAAAACTGCAATCATGCACTTAACAACTCTGGCAAGAATGGTTGTAAAATGGGGCAAAATTCACTTAACAACTTTCTCACTTGGCAACAGAAATGTTGGGCTCAGTTGTGGGCATAAGTTAAGTACTACTTGTATATGCTCTTTGGTTATTGTTTCTGACGGGATCTGTCATCTAATTAATATGTTTAATAAAATATGCTATTAATTCCTAATGATTTGAAAATTGGCATTTTTCAATGGTGACAAAAAGCCTAGCCCAGATACCACTTACCAATCATCTAAGAGGATCTAAGTCAGGTTTATCATGTTTTCTATGCAGGATGTAAATCCTGTTTTCTGAGGGTATAGATCTGATCTTGGAATCCCATTCGCAATATTTCCACAGAGTTTTGCAGCTGTTGCTTTTTACAAGCAGGGAATCTATAGGATCCACAGCTGTCTTAATTCCAGATTTGCTCCCAAAACACCACCTAATTTTTACAAATCTCTAAGATGGTGTGAATTTTATTTTTTTAAACACATATATTATGATCAGATAAATACATCTGATGCTGGGAATAAATATTTTACAATGTCTTCTGATCAGAACTGGATGATATCAAATCAAATCTTATCTAATAAGAAAATAATCCATTTATACAATAGTAATAAAAGCTAGTTCCCAAATAAATAGACTCATCTATTTTCTTGACTTTGTGTGTGTGTGTGTGTGTGTGTGTGTGTGCATGTGTATAATATAATAATGGTCTGTTTTCTTAAATATAAAATAATATATCAATTGTATATGAATAGTGTATTTATTTTAAATAATTTGCTGTTGTTTATTTTTATATATTTAGGCTTTTAATAATGCCTTTTGGCATCTGATGAAACAAATATTAGGCAATGTTCCTTCCAATTATGAATTTGCTTACAGAAGTTTTACACTGGATTTTAAGCTCAGTGATGTTTCTGTTGAAGACACTGAATCCTCAGGTAAAATAAGTGAAAGAATTTATCAGCAATATTTGTCTTTAAATATTCTATTGATAATAGAATTTGGGAGAAAATCAGTGAATATTGTAAATATTGTAAATCCAGCCATTCTTATATTGACAAATAAAAAGCACCATGTTAAGCATTCATTAAATCTTCATTAAAATGGTAAATGCCCTTTTTATCCCTCATGAATCTGAAATAAGATGACTAATTAAATTGTCTTTATTATTAGCCTATTTGAGGAAACAGGCCCCATACCTGTTAGATGTGAAGGTCCTTTTTGAGCACAATGGAAGAACATCATTTGAGGAATTTAATGTTTAATTTTATTTTTTTCGACATTTATCATTCCTTGATAATAGAAGGCAATAGTGAGTCTGAGTACTGCTAGCTGTATTTCCTTCCTTGTGTATGCTGTTGATGATTGAAAGCCAATGAAGTAGCATTTTGAAGTTTGGACATAACTTTCAATATGTGTTGGGCACGGCTTCATTTCACATAGCCCTACCTATTATTATATAAAGCTGGCATCTAATTCTGAAAAAATAAACATATTGTGAATATATAAACTGATTTCAATTTTTTAAATAAAACCTAAAATTACAGTCTTTATGTTTTTTTCCTAATTTTTGGAGCTGCAGTCATTTCAATACCAATGCTACCAAATTAATAATGGCAATAAAGATTAAGAATTTTCCTTAGCTCTTCTTTCTAGTGGTCTTTTGGATATTTGCAATTAAGATCTAGTGGCGCTAAACACTTGCAGGTATTTAGCAAGATCCTTAAAAAACTTTCAGTCATAAATGTTTTAAAACTTTAATTGAATTTCAGTTTTAATTAATTCCTGGCAGACAAAGAGAACAATGCCTCTCTTATCTAAAGTTGCAAGACTTTGACTTTTTCCCCTGAGAATTTATTTAAACTATATCTAGCCTAAATACTAACTTTGATAAATCCTGTATATTGATTATACTTTTTTTTTAAAGAATATATTCTTGTATATTTTACAAGTTCAGTTTTTTAGTTGATACTCATGCTTTGAATGAAATTAAATGACACTCAGCTTTTGAAGCTTTTCTTCATTAGGAAAATAGTCATATGATGTGGCCATTTCAGGTTTTTGCAGTCATTTTCCAGTATCGTTGTGAAATTACATTCAGCATTCTAACAGTGGGCATGCTACACATTTATAAAGTCATGATATGGTGCTGTTTTATTTTCTGTCCCTTTTGATATGAGCAATGAGTTTACATTTTTTGATTGTACCTCTGTAGTCTTTATGAGGTTTCCATTGTTTAGGATTTTATCCTTAAATATGCATTTTTTTCTTGTCCGTAGATAGATAATTTGGGATACAATAAAGATCAGTGCTTATGGAATAGAGTTCACTGTTAATACGTAGAAATCATCATAATATTATAAAAGTCACATGGTCATATATTTTTAACTGCTTTTTAAGGAAAAAAAACCCTCTCTCAAGGTTTTTACCCACAGAACAGTTTAAAACACGGGTGTCAAATGTGTGACATCACGTCACCACGTAATGAATCACAACTTTTTCCCTCTTCGCTTAAACGGGGGTGGGGATGGCCAGTGCATGACGCATCCGGCCCGTGGGCTGCAAGTTTGACAAAAAAAGGATAGTTCATCATAAAACATTTCATTCCAAGTCACTCGTTGTGTTTTATGAATTATATGATTTTTTTTGTGATTATGTATATATTATATATACATAGTATATTATATATTATATATTTATGTATTTTCAGATGCAACAGAGGTAAATATTTTTCTTTGGCAGAATAGAGAGCCTACTCCTGAAGAAGAGGAAGCTGCAGTTAAACTGCAAGCTATATGGAGAGGAACCTACATCAGGCTATTGATGAACAGCAGAAAACCAGGTCAGGATTTTCCAAATTAATCTATTCACTATTTTTAAAACAGTGGGAGTTTTTAATGGGATGTATGGGGTGAAATTTATCAGGAGAAATGTAAAATCATTTATTGTTAATTCTTTCATGATGTGTCAGAGCATCCAAGCAGCTTATTATTCATTAAACTAAAAACAAAACTAAAACAATAATTCCCCTTGGGAAGAAATCTTATGAGGAATAGAGAAAAGTATGTTCACATGGAGACAGATTCAGAAGTCGCCACACACATCATAAATATGCTTGTAGCACATTTTTAGTCAAAACTCAGTTTACTTGAAACTGCATACAATCAGCTAACAAGGATCGAACTATAAACAGACTATTGCTTATTGATCTTTTGATCCTGGGGGAAAAATATCAGCAGTTTCAGAACAGAGAATTTATTTAGCCAATATCTAGGCTGAAAATGTACTTGAATATAGAATTATACTACTAAATGTGCCTCATTACACAGCTTATCTTTCTTCACTATCCCACAAAATCATTATTTTCATACCTTTCTTTGTGAGTATTTTCACAATAGAAACTCATACTTGGTCTAAATAGTATGGATCAGACCCTACTTATTGCTACCACTCCTTCTAGTTGCATAATATTTTGTTAATTTCTTTTTTGAAGCTCTTCATCTCTGTCAAATAGTTTTTCCCATTAAAATATCATTCTGAAAAGTTGAACTGGTATGTGAATGTACTTTGAAAAATATTCAGGAAGTCACATGTCTGTTTTCTGTCCAACTCTTGAAAAAGACAGCTTTGGGGATAAAACAAGTGATCATGAAAAACATGATCATCACCAGAGGTGGGTTTCTGCTGGTTAGGTCCAGATCAGGCAAACTGGTAGTGGTGGCAGCGAGAGGATTCACCACCTGCCCAGACGCTTCTGTGATGCGCAGAAGCGTTACATGCACAAGTGTGTGTGCGCGCTCAAGCGAACCAGTAGTAAAAAAATTGGAAACCCACCACTGATCACCACCACTCAAGATTGTGAGGTCACATAAGCAGAGTCAGTTTGATTCTTATGTGCATGGACAGATATTTTAAGTTTAGCCTAGAATCTTGATTTATTTATAGAATTAGATAGAATTTAATTTAATTAATTTAATAGATTTAATTTAAATCTATACAATACTTGGATAATACAAGTTATCACTGTACTACAAATATTCACCGTACATTACGTAGTCGTTTATATATTTTTTTCCTTTTGTAATTTTAGGCACAAAGGACAATGCTAGAGTCAAAGAAACACTTCAAAAGTTGTGGGCTGTAATTGATCCAAATTTTGAACAATGTTCTTTGATGTTTTTGAGGTAATATATCTCTTGCAATATCATATTTATCAAACCCATGTGTCGCTTTGTGAGGAAACAGCCTTTCATAACGTGGTAGCCTCCCACAGTTTGGTGTAACATGAGTAGGTGTATAAATGTTTGAAAGAAATTAATAAAATAGTCATTGCTATTTAATGTTGTGTGTTTGCATGGCCTGTGTTCATCTTATCTAGCAGAAGTAACATAATTGTTTCATCATTGTCTCTGTTAATATTCTGGTATTGTTTTGTGTTATCTTTTACAGAGATATATTTAAAAGTAAATGTAAGTCAGTTGAAAAATATCGTTGCTATGAAGATGAATGGACTAAGACAACTTTTGCTGATTATACTGTAACTTACGGGGATCAACAAGCAAATGTTTGGTTTGTAGTCTTCAGGTGAAGACTTATTATTGAGTTAGACATAACCCACCAGCAATCTGAAATGAAATTTTTTTTTACAGTTAATTCTCTTAATATGCCTAGACCCAAATCTTCACATACTGAAGTTTCCAATTATATGTTCCCCTGTCCTAATTTCAGATATATTAATATGTTGTCCTTTCAGGCAAATCTCTTTTTCTGTTAAGTATTCTTTCAGTTTCTGCTTTCCACATCACAAAGAGGAAACAGTAAATTTCATTATAAACAAGTTAAGTCTGAGATATGGAAAGAAACATTAAATGACTTCCTTGGTATTTTTTATTTGAAAAGTAAAGCAATACTTTTATTTTTTCCCCTCATTGACCTGGGAAATGAATACTAATTTAAAACAATTAAAAGTCAAACTTCTTTCTAAATTGCTATACTCAATGGCTACTTCAAAACCTTTCAATCTAATGCACATTTCCAATGTCAACTGTCCAAAGAACTGCAGGGCAATTCTTAGCAGCTTATGTATACCAAAAATTTGTATTTAAATACATATTGGCTTGGTTGCAGAGTTTTACAGTATTTCAGTGTGAAAATTTAACAACAGTATGGATATCCATGCAAACAAATTAGAAATAGATTTATTCAAAAAAATCCTAATATAAAATAAGTTATTTTCAATTCTTCCTTTTATTGTAGGGAAATATTTCATGTTCCAGAAGACATGATTATTGTACCAAAAGTTTATTCAACAGTACCAACCTGTGTTTTGCATGTTGTTGACAATGACACATTACAGGAAATTCCTCGGGTCTTTCTCAGAGTTGCACCTTATCTTTATACAAAGAACAAGGTGAGAGATACAAACATTTTGATATTAATCTTCATATTACTGCCATTCTTTCTTTTCTTTTTTTGCTACACACCAGCACACACTCATACACACACTCATACACACACACACACACACAATTCATAGTGAAGATTCAATATTAAAAGAGACTGATTCAATATGTGATGACAAATTGATTAGGCTAAAACTGCTTTGATCTTTAATTTTAAATTTTAAATTAAGAATCAAGTCAAAATAAATTCATTGGTAAAACTTCCAAATTCTTTAAATTTTAATTTTTAAGTATCATCTTAAACATTTCAATTGATTAACTTTTTATTTTAGAAAGGATATACTTTCATGGCTGAAATTCAGACTGGTGAATCAGCTGTGCCAGCTGGGAAAGTAAGACTTCGGCTCATAAGTTCTTACATTCCTCTTCCATTTCTCTCTCGTGAAGCTGTAAACAACATGTTTGCTGTTAAAGAAGTGAAAGACTATTATCTACCAAATGATAAGGATATTATATTCAGGTAAAATATGAAAAAGATTAGTTATAGTAATAGTAGTAGTAGTAGTAGTAGTAGTAGTAGTAGTAGTAGTAGTAGTAGTATACATTTTATGCACATAAATTATTTTTAGTATGTAATATCAGAGGACTGAGCAAGTATTTGAAAAGGAGTATTTCACATGTAAAGAGGCTCAGGAGCAGCTTACAAAGCAATTGTGTGCAAACCTGGAAAAAGACGCAATTTATACACCCTTTCTCTATGTGTGTTTGGGGGGAATAATAGTTAAATCCAGGTGATTCTACAATTATAAAGGAATGAAAGGTAATAAATACTAACAAACAGACTAAAAACTACTTCAGTTCAGTTTGGTTTGCAATTCTTTCCACCATGATCAGTGCACCTCATTACAGTATTTTTCTAAAGATTACGGAAGATGATCTAATATTGCTAGATATTTGTTTAGAAATATTAGAGGCAGTATGAATAAAAAATGGCTTTCCAGTTCCAGTTTTTGTTATTGGCTAGATAAATATGTAATGAATACATTACTCTACAGGTGTGAGTGTAAAGTTCACGCTGTAAATAAAAAGAAGAATTATGGCCTTATAAACTATTTACTTCTTTTCTGTGGAGATAATTCAAAAATTGTATTCTCTATCAGCAGTCAGATTTTTCCAACATAATTCTGTCCTACATGTACAGATCATACCTAACTTAAGAAAACTAAAGCTTTAACAATGCAAAAGAATTAAAATTCTTAAAGATCATGGAAGTTGTGGGACATCTGTTAAGATTCCCTTGAGAACAGCTTATTAGTTAGCAACTATTCAAGACAACTTTCCCTAATTCAGTGTCCTTGGTGTTGGACATCATATTAGGGAAAGTTGGATTGGCTCTCATGTCCAGCCATTAGTTGTGCTTGGAGGGGGATTATTGGAGACATAATACAAAATGTCATGGGAAAAGTTATTCAGTATACTTATTTATTCTATTCATTCTCATTGAGGTATTATTACTAATCTGTAAGAAATAACTCACTTTCTTTTGAGTCACTTTTAAATATTAAATGTTAACTCCACTTTAACTGTAATACTATCATTTAGATGTTCTACCTATTTGTGCAGCAGCAAGTAGATTTTTCTATATATCTCTTATCTATCTATCTATCTATCTATCTATCTATCTATCTATCTATTTATTTATTTATCAGCACAAATACAACACAAATGTAACAAAGGCAACAGTAAAAATATTGGTTTTCTGCCTGGATGGTCTCTTGTGACAAGCCGATAGACAGAGAATGGAAGCAGTAGACTTCCTCCCATATGTGGGCATACCAGGGGTTGTGACACTAAATACATACCTATTTCCNGAAATAAAAACTTTTTTTTTAACGGCGTCCTTTTTAAAATTGATTTTCTTTCTTTTGGAAAATCGGGACATTTTGAACATGCTGCGGGACACGGACAAATTATTAAAAATCGTGACTGTCCTGTCAAAAGCGGGACGTCTGGTCACCTTAATCTATCTATCTATCTATCTATCTATCTATCTATCTATCTATCTATCTATCTATCTATCTATCTATCTCTATCTATCTATCTATCTATCTATCAATCAATCAATCACCTACCTACCTACCTACCTACCTACCTACCTACCTACCTACCTACCTACCTACCTAGCATATAGCACACCATGTCAAGGAAATCTATAAATGCTAGACACAATGCAGTCCTGACAGCCCTAATTGCTAGTTCATTCTGCTTGGTGTTTGCCTGCCTATCCTTGATGCACTGCAGGGGCTGAACTATCTCTACACCAGCTGACTAGCAGCTCTTGGGTTGCTGGCTCTTCCAGGGTCTTGCCTCTCCTCACCTTGCCTCATGTTGTGTTGTCTTGTTTCCAGCCAGATCCAGTGCTGGCTTCCACTCTTTGAACACATGAATGCAACTAGGTTTCCCCACTGAACTGGTACCTATTTATCTATTTGCAATATTGCACGCTTTAGAACTGCTGGGTGGGCATGAGCTAGGGATTGAGTGAATGAGCTCACTCCATCTCATGGAGCCGGGCTCAGATTGCCAGTGTACAAATTACTTCCAACCAGCATCAATAAACCACTGCATCACTGTGTCCTCACCTTTCACATATTTCATGTTTTCAGAAAGGTTGTTTGGATCCCACATGTAGAAATGTTTTATAGACATCTGTTAGCAATTCTGTTTGATTGAGTTTTCTCTTGAAATATTTTGGCAAGTATCATATTGCTGCTTTTCCCAGATATTAGAGAAATAGATGTAAAATATATTTAAAAGTTTGTGAGCTTCATACAGTTCTGGTACTAGAAAATACTAAAAGCTAAGTCTACATCTATAACACTAATTTGAGCTATTTTTTAAAATGTTGTAGTTTAGGTATTTAGGTATTTAGGTATTTAATAAATTTATAGGCCGCCCAATCCCGAAGGACTCCGGGCGGCTTACAGAAATACATTTTTAAAAGAAATAAAGAATTAAAAAAAACAGAGAAAAACAGATTAAAAGATCATTTCATGCACTCAATATAAGTGGGGCTGGACCTCATTCATCAGTTTATTGAACAGGTAGTCCAAGTAATCATGGTCACTTCAGGCACTTGGCAACCAGAATGTATTAACCATGGTTGCAGTATCCTGGCATCATGTGTTCAACATGAACAGCTGGCTTCCAAAAAGCAAAGTCACTGTGGGAAGTGTGTCTCTGTGTGTGTGTGTGTGTGTGTGTGTGTGTGTGTGTGTGTGTGTGAGAG